TAAAAATTAATAATTAAACCTGACACATGTGGAAAAACGTTGGTTTCTTCGTTTTCATTACATTGATAAGCGCCTGATTTCATCACAATGCCTCACATTGTTCTAGCACTCTCGGGACCCAAAGCAATCACGCAGCAAAATAATAATGCAGCTGCTGGCTTGAGAACAAATTAATTTATGAAGTCAGCATTATCATTTCCTAACAGGACTTTGGACGTCCGTTGTTGATTGCATGTTGCTTTATCGCTCTCGGATATAGGAGGTCTTTTTGAAATATTATTACAGCTTTTTAGAATAATATTTGATTCCATGTGAGCTGAAATAATGGACACTGCGGTGTATATGTGACTTCATAGACACACTCACTGCAGCAGCAGTCACTCGTGTTGCTATGTGTGTTCGATTAACATGACATCACTTACCACAGCTGGAAAATGATCAACTCACAAATCTATTGTTTTCTCTTCTGATGTTCCTCCAACCTTTGTCTTATAGAGCCGAGGTGAACATCGTCGGCAAACTGTCCAGATGTTCTAAGCCCAGAGAGATAATTTTTCAAGAGAGAGGATGGCAAAACTAGACACTTCTCGGAGTTTACTTTTGGAAATAGATGTGTCATGATTATAGGTGGGGTTTGTACAATTCATAAGTACGAAAGTATAATAAAAGACAAGTTGAACTTGAAGAAAATGGCATAAATTGAAAATTTACAAATTTGACCCCAGTGTCGAGTTTCGGCCAATATCTCCATTTGTGGATTCCAAGAAGTAACGCATTCTAATAGCACGGCTCACGACGTGATTTATTCTTTTAATAACAGTAACACCTGAATTGGGAACCCTCTCTTGCTTTTGTAACATTTAAAACTTGAATTTCGACGAAACAATCCTTCTCGAACACATGTAACCAACACCCACCTCAGATTAAGAAACGGGGGCTCTCGTGGCCTCGAGGTTAAGGTGCTCGCCTCTTTTTCATAGGTCCAGGGTTCGAATCCGGGTAGCGACAGAACATTTTTCTTCTCTAAAATAATTGTCTCCTTTCACCTCCTTTCCTGCTCTCTAGCAATGTTCTGCCGTCTGCTTTCGTCTCCACTTTCTGCCCCCACGCCCTCACCTTTACCCACTCCTCTGGGCTCCTGACTTTTTCTACAGCTTTTCTACTGCTACTTCTTGGGTCCTTCTAACTGCTGTCTTTCAGCAAACACCCTCTGATCTTATGGTAGGTAAGATCTACACCTAGCCTTCTCGGACAAGGGCGAAAAATCTTGGAGATCCCGTGTGCAAGTTGCGCACGTTAAAGAATCCTTGGTGGTCTAAAATTCGATAAGAATAAGCTTCGGCCTCAACCTGGGGAAAATTCGAAATTTCCTACTAACTGAAAATGTTTGGTGCGTCCCGCGGGCTCATATGACCTTACACAGTTGCAAGCGCCGTAAAATACTTA